CGCACACCGATCGACCCAGCATTTTGAAGACGTTGGAGGGCCAGGGCAAGTGCCACACTGACGACTATGCGAGTCATTCAGGGTCGTGTTACCTTTTGCTTTTGTCGCTGGTGTGCAAGTCACGAAAGGTAGCCTGGTAAGGACTACCTTGAGTTTGCTTTGCGAAGCAAAGGGACTGGCTTGAGAGCCTGCTCGGGACTCAAGATTGGTAGGTCAATGTCTAACACCCCCACCCCCCTCCCCCCCCCTGGGATGATTCACTGATAAACCAATTTTTTTCCCCCCCCCCCCCCTCCACTCCCCTCCCCGTCCCCTCCCCTCGCCCGCACTACTAGCATTCTGGACACACCATCACACCATAAGGTGAAGTCATGCGCTTAGCAGTCACAGCAGTACGACGCTGGCCATGAGGTTGCGCAATACCGCATGAACCCTGCGCAATGAGGTTGCGCAATCCGGCTTCGATGCCGCGCGTGCACACCCGGCAGCCTGACACAGCGCGTACTGCGTTCACAGACCATATTGCTCCAGGCCAACGAGCATCGATGCAAAACAGCCTCTCTGCAAAGCCCTGTGGAGAATTTTCTCGCTTCGCGGAGCACCATTCGACTCAGCCTTATACCCTAGCGTGGCGACACCTTACCGCATCGCGAAGCACCACTACACAGCTATTTACGCACCCTTCCCATCAGCCACCCACCATAGCGTGACGTCCATCCCTGGCAGTACCGGCCGCACCCCTCCAGCACTATCCTTACAAAGGGGGTTGGTCACTGCGGCTTCGACGCAACGCGTGCAGGCCTGTAATCCTGACACAGTGCATGCAGCTGTGGGACCATAGCGGGTACACATGCGAGCGTTTACGCACTGCGACTTTTACGCGCGCCTGTTTTCACACACTTTTACACAAACGAGCGTCGACGCAACGCAGCCTGCAGAGCCGTGTGGCGCAATCTGACCGCAACGGTGTTCCTCTTGAGCCTTCTTGTGCTCTCTGGCTTTGTTGGTTTCACCCATGATTGACCAAGGGGAACGTTCCTGAAACCGGAGACAGTCCCTCACCAAAAAAGGTCCCGACAGCTACCCGGTCCGTCTCTACCTTTCGTGTTTCCCTGCTCAAGTTTTCACAGTGAATTCCGAAAATTCTCTGTTAGCGAGTGGCATGTTTTAGTCAGTCCGGCCTGCTGGTGCAGCAATCTTGATTGAGTATAATTAGGTAGGCAGGCTGTTGCTGTGGATTCTTCTCTTGGTCTGCGTTTTTGGGACAATGTGGCCCTGGTCAGGCCATCGGGAGGAGGGCAACAGCTTTGGGAAATGAGGCTGTTGGCTACTCGCCGCCATGGTCCCTTCTTGCAGCTCCTGACGCATTAGAGTCATTAGAGCCAAAAAGGATGGATTCTGGACACAAGCAGTGGTTTTTGCGTGCAAGGGGAAGAAGAACAACCTTTTGTGATCAGGGCGTGAGAGTGAATTCGGACAATGATATGACCACAAAAGATGACATTACATACTGCAATTTTACTTCAATAACATATCAAAGTGCTTATCGATCAGCATTGATTGGGTGTATGAGGTCATGGCTCATCAGTGACAACGACCGACTCCTCGAGGAGAGTGACTTTGTAGCCGTGACTGTCCCTGGCTGCTCGTCGGACCGTCAGGCTTTTTCGCTAGCCGCTAGCCTTGCACTTAGTCACTAGTGTCCAAGAGCGGAAGCCAGCTAAGGCTTTGTTCGAGGCTTGATCAACAAAACATCCTTGGCATTGATGAAGCCACATGCAGCCTCTTGATTTAACCATGAATGTGGCCGATTTGTGTCAGGTTTCAGGCCAAGCATGCCTAACACTGAATTTCAGGTCCTGATTCCGATTTCTGCCAATCCAGTGGACTTTGATGCCCTTTATCAGGCTGGGCGGCTAGGCCTTGTTTGGCTTTGAGCGATTTGGTGGAAGCCATTGAATTGATGACTCATGTACAGTATCCCATGTTGCTGCCAGGTTCTTCTTACACGTTCTATTGGGGCAGTACTGGATGTGTGGCCTCAAGGGTGTTGGCACTTTCCTGACATGTTTTGTGGTCCGCCGTACGCCGAAGAGGTCTCTCGGACTCATCCTAGGCAAGCTGGTTCATGCTTCGCAGCTCAGACGTGTTGGCAAAAGGTGCAGCTTGGCACAGCTGGCCGTTCTGAGGCACAGCCGTTTTGGGCGAACCTGGCCACCCTAGAGAATGTGGTGGTCCTGCCAGGTGCTGACTTCAAGCTCTTTTTCAAAAAACCCGACGCAGCCCCGAAGCCGAAGATGCAGCCTTTCACTTCGTCAAAATGCCAGCAGCTTTTGTTAGGTGTGGCAATGCGTGATGAGATCTTCTGGTCTAATAGTGCCCATTTTGTGGCCGCGAACTTGGTGCCTTGGCCCAAGCCCTGAAGGGCCTGTCTCATGCAATTCTGTGATTCATGTCCAGCTTGCGTTCCAGGTGGCGTTGGTCGATGGGAGGCCCTTACGAGGGGTGGTTTGCAATGCATCAGATCCTTGGCCAACGGTTTGAACAGAATGCGTATCACCTCAGTCAGAGCTGGAGAAAAGTCACCCAGCACTTCAGGCAGCGATGCCATTTCTCTGACTTTTTCCCAGATGGTTTTCCTGACTAGTTCCAGATTAGCTTGGCACTGGAATCAGTAGGCAGAGGGTCCGAGGGTACTGTGGGCTTAGTCAAATGCGCATGCATCAAGAGTATCAACGCAAGGCCTCAAGTTCAATCGCGACTCGAACGGCCACACGAGAGGGTGAGAAACAGGAAGTGCGGAATGACATACGGCAGAGTCTCTTTGTAAACTTCCAAAATTGAATCACAGTATTCTGCAATCTGGTACATTCCTTACTACTCCGAAGCACCTTTCGCCAGGCATGGCGGAAGGCATGTGGGAGGCCGTCCAGAGTTCGTGCTGTGGGAGACCCATGCACATTTTGAGGGTTTTGCTCACGCAAACTAACTAACAAGCAAGAAAAACAAGCAACTCAGAAAAACACCTCTCTTGCAGCTGCATCTCAATGACAACTCGCAGCTGCTTGGCTCATTGAATGGGAATTTCCACGCTGCCATGACTTCGTTAACCATTGGCACATTTGCACACATTCTCAGTATACATTCTTAATATAGAACACCTAGAGCACTTGTTGCCTATGTTGCGGCAAGTGTTTCCGTTTGACTGATTGGATGAAAGCCACTTGACAATAACCACTGGTCAAAAGGAACAGAAAAGGATCCACCTGGCCAGAAAAGTAACCCCCCTGCTGTGCCGTATGATCATATCATCGCCCACTGGGTTGGAAGTGAAGGCGAATCTTGGATTGGATGAACAACTTTCTCCACTGAGGGAAGTTTGTGGCATTGGAATGCCTTCTTTGGGGTGAGAGACAGCGGGCATGTATGTTTTGACACGAAGGAACTTGTTCGGCATATTCCCGTGTTTGCCTTTATCTATCCTGCTGAAAAACCTCGCAAAATCAAATAACGCGGCGTGGGCTCAAAAGCACCTGCAGTAAGAATATGCCCGCTGCATGCGGAGCTCACATTACAATTGTCGAAAAGTTGTGCAGCCCGTACAGTTGACAAGAAGGGCCAGGGCGGCTAGGGCAGCTAGGGTTGTGAGCTCAGATAGTCAGCCTAGACCCAAATTGCAAAAGAGAAGTCACTGAATACTGTAGATAAAAGGATGCATATTCACAAGGCAAGGACGCTTCATGGCTGGTTTCAAGCTTCCTGGCCCAGAGCCAGCGCAGATTCTGGAGGGCCACGAAGGGGCAGTTTTAGCCTTGCATTCTGGTTGCAACGAGAGGGGGCTTGCAGAACTCAAGGAGCATACTTACTTTGCACTTGCAATTCTTATTTGGGGACGTTGCGCGGGTAAGTGCGCTAGGCAACAACCCTCAAATGTTTTATATACGAAGAACATGTGTTTTTGTTGATCATTTTGCATACTTTTAGCTTGGTTTGTCAGAATTGTTTGCTCAAAAATTGTGGCTGGAGCTTGAAATGTCCAGCCCGGGAACGTTGCAGGGATACTTTGCATAAGGGAATCACTCCACACCCCAATCCCCTTCCAGTTGAACATGTTGTTCCTGGAGTTCAGGTGGTCTCTTTCGTCTGAACAGGTTGATTGCTCAGGAGCCGCAACTTTGCTTGCACCCTGCCCGCCCGCCCCAGATGGGAGCTGTGGTGAAATGCGCGAAGCAATGCGAAGCCTTAGGAGTCTACTGCACCATCCCAATGGATGGTTGTTTAGGGGACCAGGGTTGGTGCCAGGTCTGAGGTGCTCCCAGCCTGGCACCACCCCTTGGAGTTGTCGCCAAAAGCCGTGAGCGCTGTTTTGGGAAGAGAGGGTTTGGGATAGGAGTGATGCCCTCGCAAACTGCGATGATATCGGCAATTACAGTATTTTTTGATATGCCTTTGGTGCACTTTGGAGCTGCTACTGCCACGCTTGTAAACGTTGCTCCAGGGTCCGGGTTCTTCCTAGACATGAGAGGGTGTGATACCTTGAGGTCATGGACCAAAAACGGTCAGTACATCATGACAGCCTCACAGGACCGCCATGTGTCTCAAAGTGCCATGGACCAAATTCCACTGCCCCGAGCGTATGCAAAGACACCAGGACAAGTCTGTGAGACTTTGGAATCCGCATGGTGGCAAGCACATCAAGAAGTTTGCTGGCTGCCACAACCAGGAGGTAAACGATGTCTTGACCCTGGGCACATATTTCAGACGTGAACTTTTCGTTCTTTAGAGGGTCCTGTGTGACACTCAACTCCGGCTGGAGGATACTGAGCATTATATGTGATATTTTGTGGGACTTGCATCCAGATGAGGATCGCAGCAGACAACAGCAAGTTCGTATCATGCGGTTCTGACAAACTTATATTCCAATGGGATGTGACCTCTGGCCAGGTCCGACCCGCATGTAGAAGACACTGTGGCTGTGTGCAAGATATGTTGAAGAGCTGAAAGTCTTTAAGGTTGGCTTTAAAGATTTGACAAGGTTTCTTGTGCGTTGGAATGCCCATTGGTTTTTCTAGACCAATTTCATTTTGTAATGTCTAACTCTTCGACATCAGGTGGTCCGGAAATTTTCTGGGCACGACCGAAAGGTGAACGCCCTAGCGTTTGGCCCGAAGGACACACAGTACCTGGCAAGTAGCACCTGGCAAGTAGCTCCGTTGGAGCGTTTTTGTTGTGTGAATGTGACAATAGAACATAGTATAACTTGAAAAGACGGTCTGCGTTTTCGCTTGGAACGTGTCCTGCAAACTTCAGGATTTTTCACACTTTAGCCTCGCTTTGTTTCTTGGCCAACATTGTTGCGTGCAGCGCCCCTATCAGGAGGAGGTGTTGTTGAGTGCTTCCCACGACAAGACTGTGCGCATTTGGGACCTGCGAGCACGCAGCAACAAGCCGATCCAGGTCTTGACTGGTGCTGCCGACTCCGTTCTTTGCTTGATGACGCACCGTGATGTGCCTGGACTGATCTATAAAACCAGGTGAACCTATGCCCGCACGTAGCGACGTGGGGGACTTTGACAAACACTTGCCAGCCCTTCATTCCTTTAACTTGATCCTTGTCAGCTTGCAGTCCCATTCTGAAGCTGTGCAAGGAGATCATGACGGGCAGTGCAGATGGCGGCCTACGTAGCTATGATGTTCGCCAGGGTCAGCTGGTCACGGACTGCCTCGGCAGCATCGGTTGATTTGTGGCTCTTGGTCACGAGAGGTAGCCCTCTGGGGGGTACCTTGAAGTTGGTCTTTGGAAGCAAGTGTTCCCCCCACCTATCAATTGACGGGTACTTGTCGGTGAGGAGGACAAGGGCCTTGACTGTAGTACACACCAAGGTTTGATTGTGGTACCCCTGAGTGCTTCTTTGCTTGGAAGCGGCTTGTGAAGGACCAGTTGCTGCAGCCCATCGGCAGCATTTCGGTCTCCAATGATGGTCAGTGCCTTTTGGTCTCCACCCTGGACATGGGGCCCGCATGGGAGGGGCCAATGGGGACGGTGGAGTGGTGCGGATGATGCCCACAAGCCTGTGCAGTGCATGAAGGGTTTCGCCAAATTCACTTGTCCCCACCATGCGCAGTCACAGCGGCCTCACTAACATATAATATAATTAGTGACTTAGTGCAGCCGGCATGCAAAAATAGTTTCGACGCTCTGTGAACACCTTTTGCTTTTTCCTCAGCCAGTAGAAATCCATGCGCCTTCCTGCAACATCACATGAGAGGACAACCAGATTCGTTTGTTGGAGCATTCGGACGGCTCTGAGCTCACATCGTACTTTGGACATACGAACAAGTCACTGGCATGCGTCCAGCGGGAGGGTTGGAACAACATGCGTCGTTTTCAAGCACCGAATTGCGGACATTTTCAGAGTGAGGGGTTTGACATCCAAGGCGAGTGAAAGTGAGAAGCACTTTAGATCCAACAGACTCCTTCGTGGTGAGTGGTTCTGAGGAGCTGCGTGCAACATTTTGCATACAAGATGAAATCTAACGTTTGTATTTACCAGGCTACCGCCTGCAGCCGCCGACCCCCAAGGGATAGAACCTTAGCGCTAGCCTTGCTCTATGTTAGCCTTAAGCCTTAGCCTTAGCCTTAAGAGTGCAGACCCAACCCAGCACCACCAAAGCAGGTACCCAAAAAGTCGACTTTTTGGGTACCTCCCAGATTTACCATCGGACGGCAGCTCTTGCATGAACCCCGATCATTGCCCAAGAATTTAGACCCAACCCTTCACCACCAAAGCAGGTACCCAAAAAGTCGACTTTTTGGGTACCTCCCAGGTTTACCAATTTAGACCAAACCCAGCACCACCAAAGCAGGTACCCCAAAAGACAAAGCCTAGAGCATTCCTAGGAAAATGCCAGAAACGCCTTTGAAAATCTCATAAGCCAACAGAAAACGTGACAAAATCTACGAAAAAGCAAGGGCATTGGCCGGGACCATGCCGCGACCAGCCCGGGATTCGAGCCCAGGACCATTTTGGACCGTGCTTATTTTCCCGCGCGGGTCGAGAGGGTGCCCCAAGATGTAAATCAATTGGGATGGCAGATTCTTGGACAATTCCCGGGTCGCTCAGGTAGCTTTCAGGGCGCGATTTTCGTAACTGCAACAAGGGTCCGGAGGGGTAGGGGAGGTAAGGTCTAGGTCTAAGGCTAAGGACTAGGTCTAAGGCTAAGGACTAAGGCTAAGGCTAAGGCTTAAGGCTAAGGCTAACATCGACAGTCACGCCTCACCCCACGGTGTGGGGTCGGCGGATTTTCATTTGCATAGATAAATATCTACATAATATACACTAAATGGTGCACACAGGGCAACAGAGGTGCTTGGACTTGATCAATCCTGCAGGGCCTTGCAGTTGAACGTTCTTTAACGGGGAACACTTTAAACGGGCCTTCAAGCAGGGAGTGTTAGTCAATTGGTCATCCCGAAGGAAGGGAAGTTGCAACGAGCTTGGTGTAATTGGCAAGTGATGACATACAAATTGCCGGGTCTCTCC